AAGATGCTGTCACATCAAAGGGTAAATCCCACAAGAAAAGAACAAATAGTTCTGAATTGTCAGCACCCATTTTTGAGAAAGCCAGCAATGACAGCATATCAAGTGAAGAAGCCAGCAGAAGCTCAAATGATCTATTCCCTGACCCCCCACCTCTCTGCAGTTCACTTGTGGACAAAGTCTGTTTATCACCTTCAAAAGTCCATGATGCTACAGCACAAAACAATGGGCAATGTCTCATTCCCTATCCTTCAGAGCATGATCAGAGTCCTATAAAGTCACCCCTTTCTTTTGACACAACATCGATGTTTGGTGACCTTTCAGTGGGAGGTTTTGAGAGCAATCTTTATCCAGATATTCAGCTTGCCAAAGAGAGCTTTAGTCCTCTGGAAACCACAACAGATAAAAAAGAACTTTTTGAGTCGTCATTCTCACCATTCTTAGAGCAGAGAGACTGGAATCTGATGGTTGATGTTACTCCTGTGCTGCCAAATGAGATTTCTCAGTACAAAGAGGACTCTGACTCAAATGAGAATAAGACCAATTTTAACCATGTCTCATTTGCTTTGCCAGAGAAATTAATGGACTACAATCCAAATCTCAACAGTAATGTGTCAGTTGATGATCTAGAAATCAAAAGGATAATTACAGAGCTTGAGAGTCAGCTGCAAACAGCCAAACTCAGCAGCCCTCCACCATTAGACAGTGAGCTTCCAAAACAGTTAACAATGAGCAAATTCTCTCCACTGAGACTTGACCCTGACAGTGAAGATGAGGACAGTAGCTTAGAGATGAACTGTTCCTCAGAGAACTTGCAAATTGTCAGACCAGTAGACTCACAATCAGTGCTGTTCTCAGAACCTGACTTACCGTGGTCTAGTCTGCTCCCATTTGGATTGATATGTGGACAGCAAGGTCTTCATACGCCAACACATTCCTCTACTATCAACACACCAACTGATTCAGAACATGACCATTTGGATATAAAGGACAGCATGGGGCTCACTGATTTGAACGCAGAAAATGGTTCACCTACGCATCCAGAGGACAAAACAGAGAAGAATGACTGCTTAGACAAGTCCAAGGAGATGCTTGAGCATGAAATTTACACAGAAAATCTAATGAAAAGCTTGGAAGTTATCTCAGATTCTTTGTCTTCAGGTTTTACATCACCTCAGTCATCTCCTAATCAAGAGAGTGTGGTTCCTGAAGAACAAGAAAAACAAGACAATGAACACTCTGAACAAAATGAGTCTGAACATATAGAATCTAGAAACACAAAAGCAGAGCTCACAAAGTTCTTAGTGGAGACATTTAACACAAACTCCGCTACACTAGAAGAGACAACCAGTGACATTTCTGGGTCAGATAACAGAACAAAGGTCTGCATAAATGAGACTAGTAATGACACTCTTCATCATGAATTATTAGCTAATGAACAACAGTTTGCGGAGAGTTCCTTTGAGAGTCCACCAACTACATGTGTGAACTCAAATGAAATCGATTTACAGAAGTCTTCTGTCTCCATATATGAACACAAGTGTGAGTCCCCTGTCAGCCAAACTGAAATTGCCGAGTGTGATACACAGTTTGATATTAAGAACTCAAATTATACTATGCAAACTTCAGACTTCTCCAAAATATTCCACTTCTCAGCATCCCCTACCATACCAAAAG